TGAATCCCATTTCTTTACTCCCTAGCTAGTAGTTCAAAATATTTTCGATATTGGCTAAATAATGCATTTCCAAGATTTTAGTTTTGATTTTTAGATCTTTCATTTGTTTGTTCTAATCTAAGTAGCAGAGCTAGGCTGATTCATTTGGTGGCCAGCCATATTTTTCTACACTAAATGCTCATTTGACCGAAGTTTAATTGGTTCATGTTAGTTTTTAAATTTAGGTAATACCATAAATAGATTATTAATATAGAAAAAAAAAAACTTTTTCCACAAAAAAAGAACATTATAAATAGTGCACGTTGATGCTTTTATCACTCCAAAAAAATATCTTCGAAACCAAAAAAAAATAAAAATGAATCGTCTTATTGTTTTTACGTTGGTTATTGCTATGTATATGGGATTAAATAGTGCACATTGGTGTCCAGCGAATCATATAGAAATTCATAACAACCTCGGTCCTGGAAAACGTCTCCAAATTCGTTGTTGGTCCACTATCGGTTTTCGCCATGTCAATGCCGTGAACTATGGAATTGAATACGTAGCAAATGGTAAAATGCGAAGCATCATTTGACGAAGAAATTGAAACCGATGATAGGATGGTGTGGACGTGTGACCTTAGGCATGGGCCAAATTGGAAGTATCACTTTCTTCACCTGCAAGTATACAGAGCAGCTGCTAATAGGCGATGTGGTCAGTATCGCGCATGGTATGCTAAACCTGATGGAATTCACACTAGAAGAGATCGTACGAAACCGGAGGGATTTGCACGTCCATGGCACACAGGCTAATGAGTTTCTACGTTTTTCCTAAAACTAACCAATGTCTATGTAAGTTGGTTTTTTGTTTTCTATTTTATTTACTAAGCCATAAGAGCTAAGACACCATGCTAATTTGATGTCAGAATATATAGCAAAATATTACAATAAAACAGTAGAACATTTTATACCTATGTATAATGTTTCTATCTTTTATATAATAACACAATATTTTAATTTTATATTAGTTTTCGTTTTCTAGACATGTCAATATTGTATGTTTTCTTACAAGAATTTGTAAGCAGACAATACTACTAAAGTGCTCAAAGTTATTGAATAAATAGCGGTTTATTTGTTTAAACCGGTTTAAGGCGAGCTAATGCAACCTCATCTAAATTTACAACCAAACAAATTGTTGACTTCAAGTTCTTATGATCATTATCGCTATTTCCTCGACACCAACTGTTTTACAGCTAAAATTCTGATAAATTACCAATTTGTTATGCTTCCATGTTTTCTAGTTTTTTTTTGTCATGGGACCAATTGGATATGTTTAAGTAATTTAATCTAAGTTGTAAATTCTAAATATTTCATTTTACTGATATTTACATTTTGAGAAGAAAAAAATTGTCTTGGCCTTAATTTAAAAGTTATATTAGTGCAATATGTGAAACATATTTTTCTGTCACTCGTGAAGAGAAAAATGCCAATTGGAACAAGAAAGTGAGACAAATATGAATAGTTTAAATACAAAATATATAGACATATTGTTTACATATGCATATATTGGAATTTATGGAGTAACTACTTATATAAAAACTCTTAACTCTAGCGATGAAGAATAATCCCTCATCAATTTCCAACTGCATTTAAAAAAAAAAATTATTTGGAAAATTATGGTTACGTAGCTTAAAGGTCCGAATGGTGACATTGAATTGAGCGGTGCGGATAATAAAATTGTACGGTGTGGGCACTGTACAAGTGTGGTTTGCGTAAAAAAAGCGGGACGGAACAATGTTTGATTGGTGAAAAAAATAACTTGCAGTGCAAGACAATTGTTTGATTGGTGAAAAACTATAAAAGCGGTTTCAGATAGATATTTTAAATAATAATTTTAGAAAGTAAAGTTGATTAATATTCCAAAACTACTACTTTTTTTTTACATCTAGAAAGATTATATTAAAACAAGTAGGGTATTACACATACGATCAAGGCCGGTAAGGATCAACCAATCCGTAGCCATGGCGACACGGAAACGAATCCATCTAGAACTAAGGCCCAAAAAAGGAAAACAGTTCTAAACGACTACCACACCAAAAGAACCAAGAACGAAAGGTACAAGACGAAACCAAACCATGGAGATAAATAAAGGTACAACCAACCAAACACTAACCACAAGGCAAGGATGCAAGAATCGAAGAAGCACTACTACCACCACCCACACCTTATGAGGTTAAATGCTAGCTCACATCGAAAGAAGACAATGAACATAGGAAGCAAGCGATCACCAACAAGAAGAGCAAACCAACCCACCGAGGAGACTCCAACTGATATTCAACCCTACGCTCACTAGTTAAAGGAGGCAAGAAATTGATGTACATCGCCGTTAGAGATTATTCTGGAAAAAAAAAAAAGGACGAAAAGGCACACCAATCTGCTGGACGAGGAAGATAAGTCTCGATATCAACACCTTCCAGAAATAACAATCCACCAATAAACACGTCAAAACAAAACCACATCACCAAAGGAAACGACGAGCAAACATCACATCTAAAGAGAGCTCCAGGACGATTGCGAGGACCACATCAACAAGGTTCGGCAAGCACAAGGAGCATACCAAAGGTCAAAAAGCCAGCAGCGACCAAACCTCAATCACCCAGATCAACTCCAAGACACCAACCATCTTCTGCAAAACATACCACTACATTCTAAACGCTACAAAGTCCCATAAAATAAAACTCAAACCCAGATCCATCAATACCATGGAGACAAAACGGCAGACCCAAATGGAAGCCCAAACCACCAAAACAGAGCCAAGACCTCCACACCTCTAATGCTATGAACAAACAACAAGGATACACCACCCACTGACCAAGGCAGAACGCAAACAAGACCAACAGAACCAGAACCACCATGACAGAGGGAAGAGCACCAATCAACCACATGAGACAATGAAACCAGACCGAGAAGACCCGACTAAAGCAGTGACCAAGCTTAAAGGCGGCGACTAACCTAAACTCTAGCTTTGAAGCTAACACATAGCAACAAGGGACTAGAATCAGAGGACAAAGTAATTAACCCAACCTCAGTGCCAATCAAACCAACCCCAAAGACCTCAATCACTGAAAGGCCGGAGGCTCCCCAAATCCACCACATGAACCAACCGTCGTCACATCTGGAGAAGACGGCAACGAACCAACCGGAAAAGCCAGACTCCACGCCAACTTGCTGTCACAAATCTGGAACCACCAGGACCAGGCGAAACAAGAGATGAAGAGCCCTAAAGAGTCCGCCTAAGCCCAGATCCCGCACCACCATGAACCAGAGGAAGACCCAAAGTAACCGGAAAGAGCCAAGACCTTCAATGAAAAGCAGATCTGGGAGAAAAACAAAAGAAAACGAAATAAGGAAAGAAGTCACGGCTCCATTGACAAAACCGGCCATCAGAGAGGGTCAAGCGAAAAAATTATGTTGGCGGCGGCTAGGTTTTTATTTTTGAGAGAAACCTACCTCTCAAAGGCGAAAAAGATGTTCCAAAACTAATACTATCTATTAAATGTTCCAAAATATCACAAGATTTTTAAAAGTTTATAATTT